TATCTGAATAGTCCTCTTGGACTGGCCGTCCGTCTGAGGATGGAACGCTGTGCTCAACTGAACCTGGGTGCCCAACTCCTGCTGAACTGCTCTCCAGAAGCGCGAGGTAAACTGCGTACCCCGGTCCGAAATGATGGATATCGGCACCCCATGAAGGCGAACAATCTCTCGGATGTAGATCTCAGCTAACCTCTCCGATGAATAAGTGGCTGCAACAGGAATAAAATGCGCTGACTTGGTCAGCCTATCAACAATGACCCAAATAGCATCAAACTTCTTCCGAGTCATCGGAAGTCCAGTAATGAAATCCATAGTAATCCTCTCCCACTTCCACTCGGGAAGCTCAATCCTTTGAAACAAACCACCAGGCCTCTGATGCTCATACTTAACCTGCTGATAGTTCAAACATCGAGCCACATATGCAACAATATCTTTCTTCATCCTACGGCACCAATAAAGCTGCCGCGAGTCCTGATACATCTTCGCGGCGCCCGGGTGAATAGAATACCGAGAACTATGGGCCTCCGCTAAGATCAACTCTCGAATCCCATCGACATTGGGCACACAAACTCGGCCCTGCAATCTCAAAACACCATCATCATCTAAGGTCACCTTCGTGGCACCTCCACTCTGCACCGTGTCTCTCAGGAAACACAAATGGGAATCATCAAACTGCCGATCACGGATATGCTCCAATAATGAAGAACGAGCGACCGTGCAAGCTAACACTCTGCTAGGCTCAGAAATGTCCAACCTCACAAACCGATTGGCCAAGGCCTGAATATCCAAAGCGAGCGGTCTCTGGCTGACCGGAATATAAGCAAGACTACCCATGCTGGCGGACTTTCTACTCAATGCATCGGCCACCATATTGGCCTTTCCCGGGTGATAGTAACATCATAGTCTTTCAACAACTCCCACCATCTTCTCTGCCTCGAATTCAATTCCTTCTTCTTGAACAAGTACTGAAGGCTCTTGTGGTCAGTGAACACCTCACATGCCACGCCATACAAATAGTGCCTCCAAATCTTCAAGGCGTGAACTATGGCTGCCAACTCTAGATCATGAACCGAATAATTCTTCTTGTGGATCTTCAACTGCCTCGAAGTATAAGCAATGACTCTGCCATCCTGCATCAATACCGCACCAAGCCCAATACGGGAAACATCACAATAAACTGTATAAGGCCCTAAGCCTGTGGGCAAAACCAATATTGGTGCCGTAGACAGAGCTGTCTTGAGCTTCTGAAAGCTCGCCTCACACTCGTCTGACCATCTGAACTGGGCACCCTTCTGGGTCAATCTGGTCATCGGGGCTGCTATGGATGAAAATCCCTCCACGAACCAATGGTAGTAGCCTGCTAACCCCAAGAAACTCCGAATCTCTGTAGCTGAAGCTGGTCGAGGCCAATTCTTGACTGCCTCAATCTTCTTCGGGTCCACCTGAATACCCTCTGCTGATATGACATGACCCAGAAATGCTACCGAACTCAACCAGAACTCACGCTTCGGGAACTTAGCATATAACTGACTATCCTTCAGAGTCTGAAGAACCACTCTGAGGTGCTGCTCGTGCTCCTCCTGGCTGCGGGAGTACACCAGAATATCATCAATAAAGACTATCACGAACAGGTCCAAGTAAGGTCTGAACACTCGGTTCATCAACTCCATAAATGCTGCTGGGGCATTGGTCAACCCAAATGACATGACCAAAAACTCATAATGCCCATACCGAGTGTGGAATGCTGTCTTAGGGACATCAGACGCCCAAATCCTCGGCTGATGGTAGCCAGATCTCAAGTCTATCTCTGAAAACACCTTCGCACCCTGAAGCTGGTCGAACAATCGTCAAATCCTCGACAGTGGATACTTGTTCTTAATCGTTACCTTGCTCAACTACCGGTAATCTATGCACATCTTCATCGATCCGTCCTTCTTCTTGACAAATAACACTGGCACACCCCAAGGCGAAACACTGGGTCTAATGAAACCCTTCTCAAGCAAATCCTGCAACTGATCCTTTAACTCTTTCAACTCTGGCGGGGCCATGCGATACGGCGGAATGGAAATGGGCTGATTGCCCGGAGCCAGATCAATAAATAAAAAAAAATCAATATCCCTGTCGGGCGGCATACCCGGCAGGTCTGAAGGGAACACCTCGGGGAACTCCCGAACAATAGGAACAGAATCAATAGAAGGGACCTCTGCGCTGGAATCGCGAACATACGCCAGATAAGCTAGACACCCCCTTCTCGACCACGCGTCGAGCCTTAACATATGAAATAACACTGCGGGTGGTATGACCTGGGGTCCCTCTCCACTCCAAACGGGGCAAATCTGGCAAAACCTAGGTCACGGTCTTGGCGTGACAATCCAAGATAGCATGATACGGGGACAACCAATCCATCCCTAATATAACGTCAAAATCCACCATGTCCAAGAGCAATAATTCAACACGGGTCTCAAGACCCTCAAACACTACTGCGCAGGAACGATGCACTCGGTCGACCACTATCGAATCACCCACCGGTGTAGATACATAGACAGGACTACTCAAAGCATCACTAGGCATGACCAAGTATGGTGCAAAATAGGATGACACATACGAATACGTAGACCCGGGGTCAAATAGCACTGAAGCATCTCTAATACAAATCAGAATGGTACCTGTAATGTCTGCACCTGAAGACTCAGCCTCTGGCCTGGCTGTTGGCTGGCCTCTACCTCTGGCGACCTGAACTCCACCTCTAAGACCTCTACCTCCACCTCTAACACCTCTGCCACCGTCTCTAGCTGGCTGGGCAGGCTGAGGAACCTCTGGTGCCTGAATCATAGCACGAGAACTCTGATGCTGAGAGCTGCTCAAACTCGAGGGCAAAACCTGACAATGTGCCTCGGATCACCACAAGCATGGCAAGACCTCGTCTGTTGCGGCTGAGCACCCCTCAACCTCGGGAAAACCCTCCTGTTGTGACCATACTCACCACACACATAACATCTACACAAACGCTGCAGCTGAGGGAACTGAGGCTGACCCTGTCGACCTAAATGACCACCTGAAGTACTATGAGTGACATGGGGAGCTGACTGAAAGGGCCTAGGAGAACGGCCTCTACCATAAGTACCTCTACCTCCAGACGAGGTACCACTGAATCTGCCTGCATGACGGGGCCTCTTATCCGACCTATGACCGCCTCCCTATGGCAGGACCACCTCGACTCTACGGCCCACATTGGCCGCCTCCTGAAAAGTGATCTCACTCCCGGCCTGAGCCACTGTACCCGGCTGATCTGCCACCGCTGGCTGAACTCCTGGAAGCAAACCCGCTCGAATGACACTCTCCACGAAGCCTACCAATCGGACTAGAGCGTCCTGAAGAACTGGGATGGCAATGAACCCCTCCGGGACCTGAGTTGGGCCCACCGGGACTGCTGNTGCAATCAGTTTTCGATATCTATTTGCTAGATAACATGAAAACTTGACATGCATCTAATTAAAGTCTATCATATGACTTAACTTATATGACAATCCTTGAAGGATTTAAATCGCTTAAAGCATATAGAATTCATGGTCATGAAGTACTACATCCTCAGTGCAATTTGTGCACAAATGTATCTTGCTATAACTATATGCATGATAATATGATAGCAAGAGTTTTCACCTCTATGTGAAGATATTGAACTGACGATTCCAACAAGATCATATAAAGACAATTCATCTCTATCAAGAATGATGATTTCAAGGTGCAATATATTCATTCAAGTTAATATGGCTGATTTGTTCATCAAATCTCTACCAAAGATCTTTTGAAGATGGTGCACAAGATTGGAATGCAAATGCTTAAGGATGTGAATTGATGCTCTCATCAGGGGGAGTTAATACGCGTTGTACTCTTTTTCCCTTACAAGGTATTGTTCCACTGGGTTTTCCTTGCAAGCTTTTTAACGAGGCAACCAAAAGGCGTATTGTTAGATATGTGTACTCTTTTTCCTTCTCTAGAATATTTTTCCCACTGGGTTTTATTTTAGTTAAGGTTTTAACGAGGCAAATTATCTGTTGAATAGACATTCAAGGGGGAGTGTTATACATAGAATTGTATTTATGGTGAATGTCTATATTTAGAGAGATTCTAGGGTTCATTGCTTGGTGGCTAAGTCACCCCCTCCCTATAAATCGAGGGTTCTTTTCCATTGTAATTCATCCCAAATCAATAAGAATTCTCTCTCCCTACTTTTCTCTGCAATACTATTCTTCTTCTTTTATTGTTTCATAACAGTAACAATCAAAACAAATATTGTATTTAAAGTAACAATACGATACAATATAACAAGTAACAACCATCCAAACAAGCTCTTAATAGGGATAACATGTTCTTTAGCTAGTACCTCCTATAGGAGTCACCACATTACAACCACCACAATCATGGTACTGGTTTAACTTTTATGCACTAGAGTGTGCAGTTAAGCTACACTAACAGTGTACAAAAATCTAAACACTATTCGATTCAAATAAGATAAAAGCCTACCGCTAATTAACAAACTACATTAGCCGCCAAGCACCTTCTACACCGGTATAGACAAGCAGATCGAAAACAGAACAATACCTGGTCATGCAAATTTAATTCCAAATAAGGAACAAATGAACATTAGTACAGCGAGGCAAACCAAAACACTTAGCTAAGATCACTTGTCACAAGAGCGTGGAATAAAGATCATGCAATTTACCATTTAATTCTTTATTGCGGTTACTGAAGAATCAGAGTCGCGACCTTTCCCAAGAACTTCAGCCTAATATGGGGCGGACATGATTCCAATCAAACTTTGTGCTCTTTGATGTCTTTACTAGCTCGGCTTCAATATCATGGAGATTCGCAACATGGCCTTTCTCACCTACTGTCACTCTATTGCTAAGAAGCAAAAAATGAGACCTATGTAATTGCAGGATCAGTTAGTTCCATTAGTATATTTGATCTTGGTATGGCAAAGGACATGAGGAGAGCAGTTGCCTTCAAAACATCATACTTTATTCCTCCAAACTATTACAGAAGAATCAAAAGTTGAATATACATACATAGTCACTGTACAATTTATGTTAGTAGTTCTGGATCCTATGTCGGAAACAAATTCACTACAAATAAACCAATGAATGAGCTATTCATCACAACTCGTTGTAAATCTATTGAAGCAGGTATCTCGAAATGATACTTTGCATCTATCTCTATCACAATCTTTAATCCAATGATCTGTCCTTGACAGAATCACTATCTGCTAGGGGTGCCTCGCGCTCAATTATGTACGGCTGATAGCCTGCAGCAGTGGACAGATTACCAGAAAAACTACTGCTAACAGACCTTTCAATGTCATCAAGATCCGCAATGAGAGAAATCGGTCTCTCCGGTATGGTCGGAACAGGTATGTCCGCGTCCAACATGTTCACAACCTGGTCCATTGTTGGCCTTGCGTACAATTGTGGGTGGGAACAAAGAACAGCTACTAATACATACTTCTCCACAACTTCTGGAGGGCCTAAATCTGGAATATTGTCTTCAAGAACATCTAATGCTCTACCTTCCCTAACCAATGACCATGCCCAATCAGTCACAAGCGTCGGCTGCCCATCATTAAACTCTATTATTGCTTTCTTGCCACTTAAAAGCTCAAGAAGCACAACCCCAAAGCTATAAACATCGCTCCTCTCTGTCAACTGGCCATACAAAGCATACTCAGGCGCTACATATCCCATCGTCCCTGCTACACGAGTGCTCAAATGTGTCATTCCTTCGGGAGTGAACTTTGCTAATCCAAAATCCGCCACCTTAGGCTCAAAACTCTCATCCAAAAGTATATTGCTCGCCTTAATATCCCTATGAATAATACCCGGTTGTGCTCCATAATGCAAGTAAGCCAAACCTCTAGCAGTGCCAAGTGCAACTTTCTGCCTAATACCCCAACTCAATTTCTCATATCGCGTCCCGAATAAATGATCATGAAGACTCCCATTCTTCATCAAATCACAAACAATAATCCTCTGGTGACCCTCATAAGGAGTTGTAGCAGTGCAATATCCTCTCAAAGCTACCAAGTTAACATGCCTAACACTAGCAATAACCTCAACTTCATGTGTGAAACTTGCATCCCCAGCAACTGAACAATTCTTGAACCTCTTCAAAGCTACTTCAATTCCACCAGGCAAAACACCCTTATACACATTCCCATACCCTCCTGTCCCAACTATATTCGCCCTAGCAAAATTCTTCGTCGCCAACTTAATTTCATCTATAGTAAACCTAATCAAAGTAGTACTACCACTAATTGAATCCAAACGAGAACTCAAATTACTCTCAATCCTCCTATCGTTCCACTTATGAGCCAATCTATATTTCCTCCGCCGCCACAGAATCCAATAACCAAACCCAACAAACACTAATACCAATCCACAAACTAGAACCACAACAATAATAGTCACATTTTTCTTACCTTTTCCTGAACTAGCAGTAGCAGTAACATCAATAGCAAACAAGCATTTTATAGTACCTTCATCAGTGGGCCCAAACTGATTAGCAAAAGCTGCAGCATAAATAGAAGGGTAAGCCGTACAATCCGAAACATTCCCAACAGAAGGTCCATTGAGGTAAGAAGCAAGGCCAGAGAAGCTGGTGGTACACGTGGCACAAGGGGAATTATTCTCTAAAGACTGATTACACGAAGAAACCATGTTGGAAAGTGCTGAAACAGAGACATTTGACTCGAACTCGAAACGAGTAGTGATATTCATACAACCTTGAGAGATCCAAGAAGTTTGAAACCCACAAGATTTGCGGATATCGAAGTTGGGTACATAGTCGTTGACCGAAGACTGGTAACTGTTCCAGCAAGATTCGGCGGATGTGAGTGGCGGAAAGAAAGAGTTTGTACGGCGGAGATATTCAGATTGGACAAGACGTAAGCCCTGACGAATGTATTGACACTGTGTGGTGGAGTTCAGATTTGGCCGTTTTGAACTTTGGTTTATCAAATTACGAAGTGCGTTAAAATCGAGGGGACATGGGGTTGAAGCTGAGGAGGAGTTTGTATTAGGTTGTTGGAGGAGAGTACGGTAATAGGATGTTCCATGGCAAGTGAATGATAAGTGAAGAAAGAGGAGAAGATGAAGAAGGGGAAACATGGTTGAAGGTGGCAGAGTTGTTTAACAGAAAAAAAGATTAGAATTTTGGTGAATAATAATAGTACATGGTTTTGGTGATGGAGGTGAAGGGTGAGAACAAAGAATCGTTGAGTTGGAGTAGATTATAGAATCAATCATCCACCATATTCACGGTTATTATTTATTAGTATTATTATAATACAATGAATCTTTATTCATATCTGGCAGGCAGCCAAGATATGGAGTTTTTGAGTTCTTGCAATTGAGTAGGTTCTGGGAAATAGCCAGGATAGGATAATTAGATTTGAGATAAATCCCCCGTCTCGGAGCGAAGAGGGTCCCACTCATATAGGGATATAAAGTCAAGATACCAGCATTTCCATTTGATGAACGGTATTAAATTAGTGGGGAGAGTTACTCGGTATTTAAACTAGTGATCCATAAAATGTGATAGACAAAGCTACTCCATATCTCAATTAGTGAAATAAAACTGGCATTCTGTGGATTAATTAAGGTGTGCACAAATAATCCGAGCACTACATTTTTATATACAAGGGAAAATTAAGTCAAAAACACCAACTAGGGCAACTACTAGTACAAAAGCTGATTCTCGTTTTGCAAGGATGGCCCCAGCTAACACCACCTCCCCATTTGGAATTATATGGCTGTGGCCTGTGGCTGGTTTCTATAATAGCACCTTCCTGCATATAAGAGGAAGTCAATATTGATATTCCTTGTAGTAGTAAGTAACCATTTCAAATTTGGATGCCATATACTAATCTGCATATCTGTTTAATGTAGAATGATCTACCAATGAACAGTCTGAACCCAATAGCTGGGCTTAAATTAGCAATGGGTTTAGTAAATTAACCTATCTTTTCTTTTTCGGGGGTTTGGGGGATAAAAAATAGCCAGATATACAATTGGTAATTGAAAAATAGCCACGGTCAAAAGTAATTGAAATTTAGCCACTTTTTTATGTAAAGATAAAATCTGAACAAAACACTCTTAAAATCCGGAAATATTCCACCATAATATGCTGGAGTTCGAATTTTTTACATATGAGCTTCCAACATAATGTATTGGAATTTCATAATGTGCTAGAATTCCAACATAATATGCTGGAAGTTTATACGCAGGAACTCCATAATCCCGCATATTATGCTGGAATCTTCCGTGTTTCAGCAAAACAGTGGTTATTTTTCAATGACTTTGCAAACGCTGACTATTTTTATTACCAGTTCGAAAACTAGCTAGCCCGTGCTATTTTTACTTTTTGGGGGAATATACAAGGATCCATAGTGCTTAATGTTTGACTCAAAAGATATTGCAACCCTTTTGAATAAATCAATCAAAGAAAATGATGGGGTAAATCTAAGTCATCCGTAATGAACTCCAGATCAATGAACTAAAAGAAGAATAGCGTATAAAAAGAAGTGAAGATAAACGATCTTATTGAAGCTTTCCAGTATTGTTCTCATTAATCGGTGGAGTAGAACAGGTTACATATTACATCAATCGCTGAAGATTGCTTACTTTATCCTCCTATGTCTCCAAGTTATAGAGAGGAGATAGATGAAGAATAGGAGAGATGTTTTTTCCCCCAAAAAGCCCCTCCTTCTGAGAGGTTTTTACCCTCCTATATATACAGCCCTGGTCCTCCGGCTACATGCTCTATCCGACGCTTCTCTATGCTTCACACTCCTCGGTTACTCGCTGGAGGTCATTCTTCACCGCTTCGACGAAAGTCGTGAGGGCAAGATATGGAACAGCCCATGTCGATCCTTGTTGCCTTGCCGTCTGTGAGCGGGGCGTTGGTCGGCCTGACCGTTGTGGTCAGATTTTGACCAATACAGTTAGTCCCTCCGTATGTCGGGGTCGTCCCCTGCCGGGCTCGGCAGACGGATTACGATCGCTGTCAACCCGAGAGAAATCTGACTCCTCACTCTTTGGTTGCGCTACGTGGATTCAGAAGAGACGATGGCATCCTTTTGGTATTTCTGGATCGTCGCGACCGTTTCGGAACCGAAACATCGTTTATGCCGAAACGTCGTATTGTGGTGGCAGCCATTATGACACTCGTTCTTAGGGAGTTGAAACGTTTCGTGTGCCACCGGGTTTGATTGGCGACTCTGGGATTTCGCGCTTGGGAGATTTATGTCTCTTATAAATAGAAGGAATACATCATTCGATTGACACATTCCCTTGCCTTTTGCCTGAAAGAATTCTTGCGAGTATACTTGATAAGTAGGGATTTTAACGTGTTTTATGCTCCTACTTGCCTATGCTTTGAATATAAATTGTTACAAAATAGTCCCAAGAGGCTCATAAGTTGTGCTTGATTGCAGGTTTGATCGACAAAGTGACGCAATGTCAAGGATCGGCTCAAAAGGAGTGAAACCTGCTCAAGTATCAAAGACCAAGTAAACTGAGGGCAAACAAGCCTAGCGCGGACCGCGCAAAGTCGAATGCGGCCGCACTAGATGGTTCAGAGAGTTGACAAAAGTGGGCTTCAGGCAAAGCGGCCGCGGTACGTATTTAGTGATCCGCGGTAGAGGCTCCGCGATCGTACTACCTTTTTGTGCGGTCCGCGGACAAGAGATTCAGAGAGATGAAATTATGCCAAGTCCAAGCCATGCGGTCCGCGGTCGGGATTGTGCGGACCGCGCCAGCTGCCTCCGCGGCCGCGGTCCATTCTACGCGGCCAGCGGAGCCCAAGTTCAAAGAGCCCAGAATTGAAGTCAAAGAGCTTAGTGCGGCCGCGGTCCATTTCATGCGGCCCGCACTGACCCCGCAGGGGTATTTTTGTCCAGTTTTTCCAGCCTATATAAATAGAACATTTTACCATTTTTAGGTGATCAGTTATTTTGTTTCAGCTGCTGCGCTCGTGAGAACACCATTTGTAGCCATTTTTGGCATCTTAGCTTCAAATTAACGATAGATTCTTGTACTTCAATTTAGTATTTAATTAATATGTCTTGTTCTTTATTTATTTCTTCATTTTCTCCTTCAAGCATGAGTAGCTAAACTCATTAGCTAGGATTGTGGCTCAACCCTAGTGTGGGTAATTGATGGGTGNAAATACTTTGAACAAGGAAAAAAGTGTAGAAGAATAACGTGTGTTATACAAAAAACTAGCACTAAAATAATCACTATTATCTTTAGCCCCACAGTGGGCTATATAAACTGTTTAACCTCGAAAAATGTGAGTAACAATTAAAGATGATTTGTGGTTTTAAAGATATGTGATATATTCTAATACCAGTGATTATACAAGTAATATTAAGCTTAAGTAAGAAGAAATAATGAACCAAATCAATGTTGTTGAAGCAGTAGGGGCCTTGAGTTTGGCTACCCAGGGACCTCGAGGTCAGCTAAGACCAATAAAGTATGAACAATAAAGTAAAGACAATAAAGCTGAAGAATAATTATTGAGCACGTTAAACAAGAGTAGAATAGAATATTCTATTGCAGTGAATAATGTGAGATGCCCTTACAAAACGACTGGGGCCCCTTTATATAGGAGGAGAAAATCCCAATATAGTGCATTCCTCAATATGGTAAAGAATTCTATTGGTACAGGTGTATAACGACCTAGTACGGACCTGTACCATTTCGTACAAATCTTCTCCTTTAATTTATGCCCTGGTCCACGTGTTCTTGAGAAATTCCCGCTCTTTTTTGATTGACTTCGAGATTGTGCTACCCTCGATGTAGGCCGTGTCAGGCCTTCGATCAGCCTCTTCGAGGTATGTGTCACTTAGTCGAATCTGACCTTTACTTCGAGTCTCCCGGACNTCCTCCCAGGATAGAACGATTTAACTCACCGGAGTGTTGGTACCAAAAACGCCGATGATCAGCGAACCACTCGATGGCAGCAAAACACACTGGAATTTTAGTGCAGAAGAAGAAGAAGATAATCAGAAAATTTCGTAAGTAAATATTCTGGGATTTTAAGGTCTATTTATAGCCAACTTGGTGATGTTTCTGAAGAGGTTTGCAACCTTTCAGAATAGTCATGACTGTTGGAACAGGTGTGACCCTCTGAAGAGGTTTGCATCCTTTCAGAACAGTCATGGCTGTTGGAACAGGTGTGACCCTCTGAAGAGGTTTGCAACTTTTCAGAATAGTCATGGCTGTTGGAACAGGTGTGACACTGTTTCAGAACAGCCATGGCTGTTGGAAATATTTGCGGAAAATTTAAAACGAATTTAAATTAATCCGGGAAAGAAAAACGGGCTAGACCGGACCGGGTCGCGGGTCATCCCTTCATTTCTTTTCCCACCATTTTCCATTCACACCTCTTTTGTTATTATTTATTAAATAACAAACCCAACAATCCCCCACATGACTGGGGAATGGCTATAAACTTAAAGGAATGCACGGACGTGTGTGTGTTTTACATGCAAGAATTAATTGCATCTGGATAAGTAGGTTTCCCTTTGAACTTTCCGTAGTGAACTTATATCGGATATACTCGGTCAATCGGTAGATTTGATATCTTTGAACCGTCGAGCTTTGTTGTATACCTAGACAACATAAGTCACACAATCAATCCTTAACCATCTATGGTTCTCACGGTTGTGTTCGTTTCAGCCATGAACACCGCCTGGTTTCATGAGTGCTTAGAGAATGGGCCTTTACTTTCATTCTCCTTGAAGCGGCTTACACTTCACACTCACATAGGTGATTCCTAAACGTGTAATCCTAAAGACACACTATCTGGTCATATCCTGCCAGACTTAGCAAATCATTAAAAAGCTTTAAGCTTTATTGACTCATCAAAAAAGCCTTAATGCTTTACCTCGTTTTTGAACATTGTCTTTATCACGAGAATGGGCTGAGTTAGTTGACAATGTTGAACCGTCATTCATAACTTTGTTTGATCTCTTTGAACCTAGCTCTTGGGATCTCCAGTCTGCTAGGTAGAGTTACCGCCATGATGACTTGTCCTAGGCCTTTAACCCCATTCCCTTTGATGATCTTTCAACTGCCTCTCTAGATAGGCCTTTTGTAAGTGGATCCGACACGTTATCTCTTGACTTTACGTAGTCAATTGTGATAACACCACTAGAGAGTAGTTGTCTAACAGTATTGTGTCTCCGTCGAATATGACGAGATTTCCCGTTGTACATAACGCTCCCTGCCCTACCTATTGCCGCTTGACTATCACAATGTATACATATAGGTGCCAAAGGTTTGGGCCAAAATGGAATATCTTCCAAGAAATTCTGGAGCCATTCAGCTTCTTCACCGGCCTTGTCTAAGGCTATAAACTCA